TATATTACGATCTTTAACGTGATATTCTAGAACACACGAAAGAGGGTGAAAATGATCCTTTAACCGAATTTATATATATATTTTTCAGTTTCTCCCATGTCAAATTTGGAACAGCTGTAGAAATCTCAGTTGCACCGATTTCCCTTCATATAAACAGGTAGGATCCACAGAATAACAGGAGGTTGGACAAAATACATCATACAGAGTTAAACCCTTAACTTTGACAGAGTTATGAAAATAAAGAGACTAGACACAAATGTAAGGCAAAAATAAACTTTATTCAAGACACAAAACAGTCAAACTGACAAGCGTGAACGAAAGATGGCACTTTTACTGAAAATTCTAGAGACCTCAGTGAGGAAGAAGAAAAACCTGTTCCAGCCCGAGAAAACAGCATTATTTACACGAGATAATTGGCTGTTTTTCCCCAGAGTTGGTGTGTTACTCACATCGCTGTTCGTCATCACCATCGAAAGATAAGGGAGGTGTATCTTCAAGATGTCTCTCGTCTTCAATTGGAAAATATTAGTCTACTTTCATACAGCATGTTCTCATTTACGGAAATCTTTCCCAGGAGAAGGCACACGTTATACACTAGGTGAATGACTAAGTTCATTAGGTAACTAAGGCGAAAGGTACTCAACTATTTCCTTGACTAATAACATTCTACAGATGTTGTGAATGCTATATTAAAACATTTTTTTTCTCTGTTGCTATGTCCTTAGAAAGTGTTTTATGCCCCATGAAGGTTTCAGCACGGGAATTGAAAGCTAGGCAATAATAATTATTCTAAAGTGGAAAATTTCTTAGGTTTCTTTTTATTCTTAAGCTTGTGTTACTTCCACGTTACGAGTCTAAAACATACTTGCTTATCGTTATTACTCTGCCACCATTAGTTGGTTGTTTACAAATACAAATTAGTATGCTTATCAACTGTTTAGCCTGTTGACTTCCTTTTGTCACGTAAAACAGAATGGAAATGTACATGTTATTCATGAATCTGAGCAAAAGTAGACATAAATATTTTCAGGAAATTAAGCTTTAAAAAAGGAAACTATGTCCGAGGGAGGAGATCAAGTTCATCATCGCTATGGCCCAAATGCATCTGCTATTAAGACGAAGAACAAAGACTTTAGCAAAGTTTATCTCACACAAATGAGTAAAATTCTGTTTTACAGACACCAAAATATTAGACAGCCTGAGAGTTATTTAATTCAATTTCATATTCTAATATTTTATAATATTGACATCAAGTTTGGCAGGAAGTGAATATAAATAGAACTTGGAACTAAGTACAGTTGTTAAAAAGTTCCGTAAAAGGAAAACAAAACAGGTCTCAGTTTTCACTTTTTTGGTTTGTTAGAAAGGAGTTTGTCGTGATTCTGGAGTTAATTAGCTTTTAATGCACGAAATACCTTTACTGTAATTTATAATAGGAAGTAATGAATTAAGTATTTTAATAATCAAAATTATGCCCATTCCGCAACCCTCCAATATCATCTTGTCACCCGACGGGACAGCGATAAGTCTATTGACTTAAAACGCTAAAATCTGGTATTCTATTCCTTGCGGTGGACACGAGTCAAACGTGGCTTTGTTCTAAAAGACAACCAACTAACACACAATATCTTCCTCGAGTGCTAGGATCCAGGATAATTTTTTTTAGCACAAAGTTACACAATGGGCTATCTGTGCTCTGACCATCTCGGGGAATCGACCCCAAATTTTAGTCCGTAAACTTACCACTGACTCACCAGAGGAATTTAGGGTCAAAGGGAATTTATTTTACTCATTTAGAAAATACCTTCAATACACTTTCTCGGGTATTAATAAGCAAATTGAGATTTATTTACACTTAAATTAGTACTTTAAACCTACATCACTCGTCCATACATTAAAAAATAAAAATATGTTATCTTCTCAACTTTCAAAGTAAATTCCATTACAAATATGTTAATAAATTAACATATTTTACAGTTTAGTATCAGAAAACAGGCAAGTTATCAGATTCAAATGTCTAAAACAACTTTGGGTGAATAAATTTTGGAACTCCACTTCTTTTATATCACGATTATTAATTAATTTCATTTGCATGAATATATGTAAATGAAACTTTAGTGTTTTATCTTAAGTAAAGCAAATATGTTTCTTCATAAAAAAAAAATGGCAAGTCCTCTGTTGACCATTTTCTGTGAATACTGTGTACTAATCTATAAATCCATTTGGACATTACTAGAATTAGTTAATAGCTTGAAACTGCAAACCATTTGGATGATTCAAATTTAAGTTCAATATTTACATAGTTACTGCATTGATTTCTGATATACTTACTACATAAAGTGTAGCTTTATTTTTATTAACACTTTTAATTTTATGACATGTTCCACCATCATCTTCGTTTTATATGCTGCAATCTGTTGGAGGGTAGTTAAAATAGCACACATGTTCACACCCAAAACTCGACTTTCCCAAACTGTAAAATTCTGTTTTTGTTTACCATGTAATGCGTAATTTTGTTTTCTTCAAATGTTTATGATAGTAACCTACAGGAGCAATGAAAATATGGTGCAAGTGAAGACGTTTTTGTAAACTGTACTAAAACTATTGGTTCAATGTCATCTTAATACCAAATAAGGCAGTGTTACATAAGTAATACACTAAATTACAACAATGTTTCCTACTGTTTCGTGTAGTATTAAATCTGGGGTTTGTTGAGAGTATGGGGGCCTCAAAGATTGCTGTGCTGGTCCAAAAGGATCTTAATAAATTGCATCAGTGTACCAGGTAGGCCAATGGGTCCCATAAGTGACCATCTTACAAATGAGCCTATACCACTTGGAATAAGTATCATCAGAGGGTACTCTGGAAAAAAGTTTTAATTTTATACATCTCACATGTGAATCTTTCATTAGTTGGGCCACTGAGGGAGCATAAACACTGCTGCTATGAAGAAAAACTGGGATATGCAACACTTGAAACACGGTAGCTAGGGTGGATATTACATGATAAGCAAGTTCAAGTTGTTCCCCATCTCAATTTTTCACTCTTCCAGAAAAATTTAAGTTTACAGAATGATGGGACACCTTTAAAATGTGTCTCATTAATCTCAAATAACACTAGAACTGCAAGTCTCATCATGTGTAAATACCAGGTAAATTTTGCGATACCTTGACAAGTATTTAAATTAAAAACATTTAAAATTAAGTATGCGTATCAATTTGAAATTTTTACCAGCTATGGCCATGCAGAACTAATAAAATGGCTTTGGGCTTTAAGGGTTCTTTGTTCAAAGTAAATCTAGTACCCAAAGCATGTAACTTAATTAGGTTTAGTAATACATTATGATAGAAATTAATTTTTTTTATTCTGAGATCTTTTGCATTTACTAGGTTAGTTTGGTTTGTCTTGAGTTTCTCACAAAGTTACATGAGGGCTATCTGCGCTAGCCATCCCTAATTTGGCAGTGAAAGACTAGAGGGAATGCAGCTAGTCATCACCATCCACCACTAACTCTTGGGCTACTCTTTTACCAACAAATAGTGGGATTGACTGTCAATTATATTTCCACCAGCCACCACAGTTGATAGGGTGAGCAAGTTTGTTGGGACAGGGATTTGATCCTGAGATCCTCAAATTGCGAGTCAAGTGCCCTAATTATGCTGGACCTCACATTTACTGTTCAAGAAACCCCGACTTCTGACTTTTGTAAGTAATGAAAAAAAAAAAGGTAAAAAGCTTAAACTTACAAGAAGTCTGAAATAATTTTTAGCATTTTTTTTCAGATATTGTACCAAAAATTTACAGTTTGGCCAAATTTAAAAGGATGAGACATTATAACAACTCTGACCTTCGTGCATTGGTATCCGTTTGTCTTTCTTAAAAGTCATTAAACCATCATATGTTCAACTTTGACCTAAAGCTTCATGGTAATTAATTTACATCTTCATTCACAACTACTGCCCAAAACTTTACACTTTATTAAATTACTTACAAAAGGAAATCTTTATGAATTTGAGCTGAGAGTATCCTAACTTTCTAAAACAATTACGTCAAAAGTTTTCTCAGCTAAGTAAAAATCTGACAGTGTGCAAGAAATAAAATTATTTAACTTTAAAATTATTTTGGCAACTTTCACTTACAGGTTAAGTTTTAATGAAAAAATTAATCAGTGATTGTGTATGATGTAAATATCTAGTTTTTACGAGTCTTGTAATTAAGTTATAATCCATTCATTCCTTAATGTTAGTTTTATTGCTGCTATTGGCTAAATGCTTAATATGTATATTTATTATTATTAATTTCATTTATTTATTACACATTTTTTAAGATTAGGATTATTTTGCATTGTTAGCTTATTATGTGCATTTTGGTTATTTTACTGGCCACTTACTAATTTATATAAAAAAAAACTTATAATATTTAATAATCTAAAATGCTTTTGTAATTAAAAATGAGCTTGATAAAGTTTTGTTTTTGATATAGAATGGTTGAATACTTTCTTCTTCTAAAACATTTTTAAAGTTAGCTCTCATCTATCAGTCATATCAGCAGCTATGTTACGTTTTCTGTATTTTTGCTAAAAGTCATAACTCTGTTCATATAAAAAGAAAAGACGTTTTTCAATCTCTAACACAAGGAAACATTTAATTTTAGTGACTTGTAAAAAAAACCTCTATACATAGATCTGTATCACACTACTCGGGTATAGTTTTACAAATTAATTTAAATTTCATGTTCTCATTTTCCTTTGAAATTTAACCACAAAGAAACATGTAAAATATTGTATGTTTTAAATAACTTGTTAACTATCAAGGGATTCTTCAATAAGATAAACATGCCTCCCTAAGATTGTCTACAGATACTTGCAGGCTCTCACTTGTTGTTTCTTTTTTTTCTTCTTCAAGAAGGGTACATTCTAATGAAAGAATTACTAAACCATGTACTACAGAACCTACAGAATGCCAGGGATGGTAAAACTGGCAAGTTTTTTTGGTCCATAAGAAAAATGGTTTTAAGTTATCAAATACAAGGGTCCCACAGCTTTAATCCAACTGCAAGTATGTCTTAAATTAATCCCTTCTTTGCAAATAAACAAAAATAGTGTTTTTTAAAACTTGTAAGTGAAAGTAGATAAAAATATGTGACAATAAATCAACCACACTATATATGTCATTTCAAGTGCTGACAAGGTCTTTGGACCAATCCCAGGGCCCGTCAGACTAGACATACTAGTGATGTTGATAAAGTGTTGTGAAATACCTTTTGCAGATAATTATCATTATTTACAATACAAATAGATCCATGATGAAAGATAACTGAAAGAGATTTAAAAACTGAGAACAAAACAAATGGGAAAACAATAAACTAAGAACTACAGTTAAAACTTTTCACATGGATAAACACGCTAAATCTTAGCTTTTGTTAAAATGAATGAAACACAATGGATGAAATAAAACAACAAGATTTTAATTATAAAGAACATTCTAAAATCATAAAATGTATTTTTCACATATTATTTAAAAGTTGTAACACGTACGACTCATTCAACACAATTCTCGTAAAGTTTTTTCAACACCATTTAAACTTATCCAATCCCAAAAAAATTACTGATGGCATCAATGATGTCAGCCTTCTTGGTTCCTGCTTTAATTCCATGTTTTTTACAAAATTCCTTCAGTACATTTACCGTCAGTCGCCCCAGCTGAATAAGGGGAAAGAAAATTTTACTTTAACAACTACTGTTATCAAAGTGTATGTTTTAGGCTTAAAATATATATGAGTTTAAAGGTTTTAATTAACAAATCAATCTAATGATGATTAAATCCATAGTGTTCACAACAAAACATAAAACTTCACAAAAAACAAACAGTCAATACTGAACAGGCACTCAAAATATTTTCTTAGCATGCTATACTTAAGAACACTTTTTAACAATCTTTACCATAATGCCTATGCCACACAAATGTATTAAGTCAAACTACAATACTATATAATTCACGACATTACCTGACCAGCCTCAGCCTCATGTTTAATGTCTACATTGACAAGCTCTTCAGACTTTGCTCGTTTAGCAGCTCCACCAGTTGATGCACCCTGATAGAAAAGACACATACATATAATATGTACAGCCATAGAAATATTGTTAAACAAATCACACCAAGTCAGAAATACAGTAGGAAGCACTAAACTTTATGTAAAGGTTTGGAGTTACTATTTGGTTTTTATTGGGTTTTTTTAATCCTCTTCTATAAAATGTTACATGACTGTTTAATACTTAAAATTACATAAATACTTGCACACATATTTAAAGTATTTCTGTCTAAATGTGTTAAATATTTCCTTTTTAGTGTAACTTAATGGAATGGAATAAGTAATAGACCAACATTTTGTTAGTGTCTACAGGGCTGAGAGATTATAATGATAATTCTGTACTACTATCGCATTTAAGTTTTTATGTGCTTTTCCATCTGTGTTTTGACTGAATTGGTCCACATAGAGACCTGGAACCCTTTGTCAAGAAACAGCTATTTATCAGCCATTAGGACTTAGTGGCTGAAAAAAGTCATCTTTAAATAACACAATGTTAAAAGAAAAAACAATGTTTAATGGTACACAATAAATATTTAAAGATGAGACTGTCCCCAGTCCCAAAATAAAATAAAACACTTACTCTATAATTTACAGTGTAAATATAAAAACAACAACTGAACTTTAAGAGTGTACAAAGCTGTTCCCAGTCTTAAAGTTTTTTTACCTCTACACAGTATGTGTATGAGACTGTCCTAAAAGCAGTCTATTTTTTTCTTTCTTTACGAGCTAATTAGTACTTGGTAGAGAATATTTTTATGAAGTTATATTTTCTATAGTAAATAATTTCTGCCCCAAAATAAATGAAAGTTAAAATTTTGCTCTTTTTTTTTGTGTGTGGAATGTCTGCTGCATAATGTCACTAATAGATTGTTTAACATTAACAAAGTTGAGTAGTTGTGCTGTATTCATGAGTTACCCACAATATTGAAAAATGACAACAATCTAATACGCTCTTACTGTGTAAAGATTAAAAAACTGAGACGTTGAGGAACAGACCACCTAATATCAATTCATTGAGGGTGTTAATAGTTGTGGGCCAAAATACCAATATTTTGTTCCACGATACTGATACCAATTCAAGTATCATGATACTCAATATTATTGTGATATCAACAGAAAATAAACATGAGAAGAAGAGCAGCAATGAAAAATAAAACAACGTAAAACAAACAGTTATAACCTGCTAGAAGTTGAAAACACAGTCAACATGCATCTGATTTTCTAAGTTGTACAAATAAAAACTTCTTATGCTCAAATTCACAGCAACTAGTAATAAAGCATTTAAACTGCAAATTTTGTTGTTAGATGAAAATCAACTTCGATATAATTGTCAGCATGCATTCAAAAATATAAAAGTAAATAACATACAAAAAATCTATGAAATAGGCTTAAAAGCAAAGTTTCACTAAAATTGAAAACAATTTAAGCAACAAATTTCCAACTCATCTTATGTCTTTTATTTCGATATAGTCTAAGGTTGTTTCACTAGTGGGAGAGTTTTTGCAAGAAACACAAACATATTATACATTTTCTTGTAGCAGGTATGCCTGATAATTCAGTTACTTCACTTTTTTTGGCAACTTCATGGTGGATTGCAGACTTTCAAGCCAAGTTTTTTCTTCTTGTTGTCTGGCTCACCTGAATTTTAATCAGGTTTGCCTGTCTCCATAGCTTGAGTTGAGCCACTCGTGTGATTTTGAATGTACTCGACTTCTTATTGATTTGAAAAAGTATTATTAAAATGTGGGCGAAGATAAATTGCGAGACTGAGAATGTTTTATAAATCCCTGTCCTCATACTTCCATTACAATATGAGTAAATAAGCCATGTTAGTGGAGAAACAGAAGAAAGATGGAATGTTTCTTTCTACTTGATGCATTAGTGAGTGATAAAAAAAAAGAGGTGGACTTTGTGTGTGGTTGCTGTGTAAGAAAAGAGCTACACAGGGTAAGACTTTCTGTCTGCATTTGCTGAAGCCAAGCCATGTTCTATTAACGTGTGCTCGTGAATCAGAGCAGTGTAATTTAGTCAGTTACCTATGAGCAGCAATTAACATCAATAAGTGTCGTGTAAACTAACATGTTACTCAAAATTAGTGTTTCCAATTATTACCATTTTCAACTATTCCAACAACTGATTAGTCTAAATTACAATTATATTGATTGTAATGAAAATAATCAACTAATTGAAATTTGGGTTTCTGATTAGTACCATTTTTCATTATTCCAACTATCAAAGTAATCAAAATATTGCCACCAATCTTGCTAGGCCTATCTTTGTTACAGTAAAGTTACTAAGGCTATCTGCAACTGCCACTAATGCTGGCTAGGTGAAAAGCAAAAGGCTGGCACCAACCACCACTAACTGTTTTTTTTATTGTTGTTGGCTGGCGACTAGAAGGAAGATCAACCTGTTTGACAGCACCCACTGCCAACCATTCTTTTTTTTCTTTCTTTTTTTTGCTTGTATATACCATGGTTTGAGGAACATTGTGCTACTGAGTAATGGGGCTGATTAATTACCCAGATCTACTGTTGATGAGATAATAGACACTTTCATTGTTAATCCTACGTGGAGACTCCTGCCCCATACAACAGCTCATTCTTCTATTTTTGAGAATGTCTTGTTAATCTAAAAGAGTAGTAATTCACCAACTTAGCAGTTATGGGTTACCCTACAGTCAGTGAGGGTAATTGTGCTGACATATATCAACAAAACTTCAAGTCTCATCAGTTACGAGCTGGCTAGTTGAGACATTGACATTTGTTTGGGCTATTGATATAGCATATTTAATTTAGTGTTGCTGTTTCTTGCAGCACACTGTACTGTGATATTCTTATACATGAAAGCACTAGTCATATGTTACGTAAATGGACAAGTTTGTGTTCTTGTCCATTCTTACTCATATTTAAAATCCTCAATACCTATACAAGTAATACGCTTGCATTTGTCTGTCCGGAACTTTTCTCACAAGTTTCTCGATGAAACGATACAAATCTCATATCATTAAAAAGGCCTTTGTCCGAGGAGTCCAGATTGCATTTTAACTTTTCCATTCAGAACCACCTACCTGTTTTTTGCTTAGTCAAGCTTTTCAATGCAATGAGTATGGTACATGATGGCATAATGCCGTTGTCAACATATAAGGAATGTCTTCAATTTCAAATTTAGTTTTTAATTTGAAAGGTATTTCATTTCATATAAACAAAACTTAACCCATGTGTTTTTTCCTAAAAAAATTAACATTACATTAAATACAATTTCTATGGGCTTTCTCGACTTATTTAGGTATAAAATACATATGCACAGTTCCTTCAAAACTATATGTTTATCACTTTGTAAACACACATTCCGACGTTTCTGTATATTCAGCTAAGTTTGCCTTCATTACAACTTTATATTTACTTTACTTTGTAATAACTTAGCTTTGGTTTGTTCCACAGACTGCTATAAACACCTTTTATCTACTCTTTTCTTTACTATGGGTTTTATTCTTCACTTTTGCGAGTTTCTTTGTTTCAACTCATAAATCCATGTCATACACTGAATGCTCGTAACTGTTTCATACTCTGTACACTATTATAAATACCATCATTATACTGTTTACTTTACGTGCAGTTTTATTAAAGTTTTGTCTATGTAAGTTTGTTTGTTTGACTGCATAAAATTTTAAAAAATAGACCAGGATTTATTGATCTAACACACAAAGCCTGTAAGAAAACATAGCTTAAATGACATGTGTGAAAATGATAGAATAAGGAAAATTCAAGCGAAAGGCATAAAAACTACTGCAAATGTTTAGTGGGTCATGACTAGTATTTCTTATTTACATAAAAAAAAAATCATTGGTGTGGGAAACATTGACTTATACATCATACCTTGAGAACAAGCGGCTAAAATATGGAAGAGTGGACTTTGATAAATACTCTACCTGCTTCCTTTTACCACTTGTTTCTTCCTGTAATCCACCAGGAAATAGAGTTTTAAAGTCTTCTATTAACTTTCCTGCTCTGTTTTCAATGGCTTCTTGGTCAGGCACTTATAAACAAAATTTTCCTGATTAATTGTTAGGAAACAATAAGAAATAAAGTACTCAGTATGATATGGGTGTTGTCATTTAAAATATTATAGTACTCAGTTGATCCTTTTATATATGTTGTTACCTAGCATACTGTAATAATCAACTGGTCATGTTGTTACCTAACATATTGTGGTATTCAACTGGTCAGTGTGTGGGTGTTGTCATCTAAAGTATTATAGTACTCAGTTGATCATTTTATATATGTTGTATACTATACTACAGTCTGCTAGGTAACAACATGTATATCATAACCAGTAGAGTATTACAGTATGTTAGGTAGTAGTATTATGTAACAAACTGTAGTTACTCAGCCGATTCTTTTATATATGTTGCTACCTAGCAGACTGTAGTATAGTATATAGTATCATGTAACAAACTGTAGTTACTCAGCCGATTCTTTTATATATGTTGCTACCTAACATACTGTAATACTCTACTGGTTATGATATACATGTTGTTACCTAGCAGACTGTAGTATAGTATATAGTATTATGTAACAAACTGTAGTTACTCAGCCGATTCTTTTATATATGTTGCTACCTAACATACTGTAATACTCTACTGGTTATGATGTACATGTTTTTACCTAGCAGACTGTAGTATAGTTTATAGTAATATGTAACAAACTGTAGTTACTCAGCTGGTCATGGAATACATGTTTTCTAACATACTGTAATTAGCTGGTCACGGTATATGTGTTGTCTTAAATACTGTAGTATTCAGCTGGTCATGGTGTTCATACTATCTAACACATTGTAGTACTCAGCTGGTCACAGTATGGGTGTTCTTAACTATTGCTCGTTTCATTCACCAATAAAATAATACACAATAGATCTGATCAATTGTTCTTCTTTTCATTTAATTTTATAATACACAGTAAATGTAACTAACCCTTTAACAGTAACACAAATAAAATTGTTTTTGTGTATTTTACATCTGACAATAAAACAAACATATACAATTATATAAGCTTAAGCCTAAATACACACACACATGATAACTGATACTAATGTGTTCCTCACTAATTAGTAACTTTAAAGTATTTTTTATGATACCATACAATCTGTTGTAATTTATTGTATGTTGACAGTATTGTGTTATTTTTAATATGGGTACTTTATGTACCTAAATTATTATCTAGATCAGATCAGCCTTTATCTACAAATGTGAAGACATTTAGCCTAGTACTCTATAACATTTAACTTAAAATTGATCATTTGATTTATTTTTCACACCTCACAGATATATCACTTTAAAACAATCAACAGCAGTATACATAAATCACATTGGCTACTTAAATTTTTGTTATATTTTCATAATATGTGGATTAATCAGTCTTTATTTTTCACCGTTGAATAACACGTATACACTTTATTTTAATTATGAAACATCTTATGTTGTTAGAAGTTTCAAATGAAAAGTAAGATGTAGACATACTATAAATAGTTTTTTTTTCTAAAATAATGTAGCAAATCTCAAATAATATTGATATTTTACTCTAAGACTTACAACTTCACAAATATGTTGAACAGAACTTAAATGAACTTTGTTTTGAAACTAGTCAGCACAATTAAAACAATATTAACATTTCACTAGAAAACTTAACTCCACAAGTATATTAAACAGAAAGAGAAAATAAAACTTAGCATTTACTATAAACATGATTGTTTATAAGACTAATCAGCAGATTTGGAATAATGTTAACTTTTTATTAAACAACAAATAATAATTTCCTAGCCATGTTAAGTAGAATAGAAAAGGAAAGTAAAGTAAAATTACAAATACTATTAAAGAGGGATTTGGGACAAAGAAACTTTTTTTTTACAGGTTCCATACATATAGATAAAAAATATGGGACATGCCTACTTTTAGTCATTTTAGGGTGGTCAAAAGGTTAAATAAACCCATAATTTTAGGGGTTTTTTGACAATTATTCTGCTTTATTTCAGCCAACTTGCAATGAATTTTAGACAAAGATACTTTTTTTACAGGTCCCAAACAGAGATATGGACAATTGTGGAATTTTTGTATTTTGATCAATTTTTCAGTAAGGAAAGCACAATTTGGGGTTTTTGTGAACAATTCATGCGAATGTCAACCAAATTATGTGTGATTTGGTACAAAGATACCTTCTTGCAGGTGTCCCAATCAGTAATATAGACAGTTTTTAATTTTTTTGGTATCAAAATTGGCCATGTTGGGATTGTATGGTGGAGACACATTGCATTTGCCCAGGCATATTGGACATTAAATTGGCTGAAATATAGCCGAGTAATTGTAAAAAAAACCCCTAAAAATATGCTTTTTGTTTCATCTTTACCCTATAATTACTAAAAATGGTCAATCAAGTCCACCATTTTTGTCTGTCAATGTGTGGAAACTGTAGAAAAGTATTTTTGTATGAAATCATATGTAAATTGGTCGAAATATAGCTGGGTGATTAACCCAAAACTCCAAAATTATGCCTTTTAATGAGCTCTGCCCCCCCCCAAAAGACTCAACTCAAAATAAGCAATTCCAACTTTGTCAGTGTTGGGTGCATGAAAATTTATATTTGTACCAATTTTCATCTTGATTACCGTAAGTATGATTGCACAGGAGTCACAAATATATATTTTTGTGTTGTTTGTTATACTTTTGACCCCATATAATCCTTAAAAAAGGCATAAATAAAAAAAATGAAACAAAGTGTCTAGGCATATTGGACCAAGGTATAACCCAACCAAGTTTCAAGTCAATCTGCTGAGAAATGAAGGAATGGCAGTCGACTGAAAAGTGTTTGGGAGAAGAAAGAATGAAGAAGAAGCAATAGAAAAACATTACGTCTCTCAGCTGAGACATATAATACATGTTTCCACTGACAGACATGGTTATTTCTAAACCTACCCAGAAGATTTGAAATAATGTTAACCTTTTACTAGAAAACTATACTATGATTCAGTATAAACAAACTTCACTCACTGGTGTGGTCTTCCATATCGTCAGGTTTATCCCTGTCTAGGGCCAAAGCTTCAATATTACGCCAATGTTTCTGAATAGCTGTAAACAAATGGTAACAATCTTTGATTGTATTCTCTATTTCAGATCGGATACACTTATCTAAGAAAATCTACAACATACAGATAAAAACCTTGAAAGAGATAAAGTTGTGGAAAACTTCCCAAGATGAGCCACACTATTGGAGCTTGACATACACCTTTAAAAAGAGGAGAATGGCCACAAGAAAAAAATGTAATTTTGGATTTTTTTAAAAAGGCCATAAGAAGAGTGTATTTCATTTTTGAAAAAATAAATGCATAGTATATTTAATTGACTTTCTTTCCACAACTGGATTTTGATTATGGAAAAGTGCTATTAACCAATACTAACCCTAACATCTTGATATCTATATGGTTTGCAACATTCATAATTTTCTTAAACTATACATGTATTTATAATTCAAAACAAGTCTTAATAAAAATATAATGCTACATAACCAAAGTATACGAAGTCATCAGGATACATAAATATAATGTGGGAAATATGAAATGTGCCATAGCTTTTAAAAAAGACTGTAGAACTAGGACCCACATAGTGGTGGGGATGCAATATCTCTTCTATACTATAAAACTGATAGACAGTGTATCCTCAATGTATGTTGTTTATTTTTAGTCGACTTTAAATATGTTGTTCATTTCTCCATTTATAAATGGGGAAATTCAAAATCTTTTTTTTAAGAATTTAAGCCTAGCTTGGTAACTTTAATTTTGAAACATAAAACACATTAACAAAATGTTATTTAAATTCATATTCTATATTCTTTCTTCTATCTATTCTAAGTTGGCCAAGAGAAGGTTAAAAGTTTCTCTGCCATTAACAAATACAATTGGTTTTTATTCTAAGCAGTTCAGTTCAAACAATTCAACTTTGGGGTTTTTAAATTAACACAATTACTTCACTGCCATACTTTTTCTTAACATTTTATCAGTGTAAAAAAAAGAGTACAATCAAATGATTTAGACAAAATAATCTTACATTTCTGTATCAATCACATTGAAGCCAACATATAACTTTAGGTGCAAGGTATTTCTAGGTGTCCTGGCTTACCTTTCAGGTAATAACTGCAGACAAGGTGGAGCTTGATGCAAGGGAGGAGACTGAATGCAATGTTAAAATAAGTAAAAAGCAATTTTTATTTATTCAGAAACAATCAACATGCAGTGGATTATGGAAGATGCTTCTGAATAACAGAAAGAACGATTTGAATTATCTATCTTATGCTGAAGAGATTTTGTTCTAGACTGAGTAGGAAAAATATCATCGTCATTCTCAGTGTGCAGGCACTGCTTATGTCACTGGTTGTACAAAGTAAAAGAAAGAAGGACATAGTCTCTAGATATTTCTAAACTTAGACATGCCAATCTTGCTAAATACAGTAGATATAAGATCAAAGCTATGTCTCCAACAACATTCCTGATAAGAAAGCTAAAAAATATTCAATTGGGACATTGGCCCTGACTGTGCTAGCACATGAAATAAGGAGAGTACTGCACAAGGCAGATTTCAAATACATGAAAGTCTAAAAGCACAACAACCTGATAAATTTTGAAAGTTTTAGTAAACTAAACAGTTTACCTTTCTAAGCTACAAGAGAGAAAATATGGCACTTTTCAAAGTACCATGTAGTATCTTCCCTTGTTTTCAGTTGTTCTCAGTTATCCCTAACCTTAAATCCAATAAAATATATATATAAAAAACTAAGCTTCAATTCGGCCATATTTCTTTAGTACTTTTTTTCTTACATAAGACAGAAAAGCATAATCTTTTAACAAAGATACATGTTTACATTTGACAAAAGCTCTGTCTATGATATCCAGGCTGAAACCTCTAGACACATTTTCTAAGTAGTTAAGTTCAACGTATAAGTTCGTTTTGTGAGTACAGAATTCTACTGCATGGTTTACGAAAGTATAGTCTGTAGAAATTGTTTGTGATAGATGGTGATTAAATTTTTGGTGTGGTGGCACAGATACAGCAAAGTTTTTCCTGTATACATTGGTGATCATATTCTTGTTTTCTTTTATAACTTTAACATCTAAGAAGAGGAGGAAAATTTAGAAATTTTTCAAAATTGGGTATACTGTCTCTACCATGTCACCATATGCTAAAGATATCGTCCACGTAATGTAGCCAAATTGGTGTGTGTGTGTGAAAATGTCTCCAAATAGTTCTTATTCAAACACAGACATGTATAGGTCACTAAGTAGGGAGGAAAGGGAAGATCCCATAGCTAAGCCACTGTTTTGTTTCTAGAAGTTATCTTCATAGGTAAAGTAAGTGTTGTTAGCACAGTATTCAGTTAGGCTGGTAAGGTGGTTTATATCGTTAGGATCAAGGTTAGTTTGTTCCAGTTTGGCTTTTAAACAGATTAGAGCCTGTTCTACAGGTATGGAAGTGAAGAGAGATTTTTTTTCTTCTGTTTTTAGTCTAATGTTTTTAATTCTGTTCATGAAGTCTTTGGAATTTTTCAGATAGAAAGGGGGTTAGTCTAATAAAAAAAAGTAAATTTTTAGTAAAGAATTTAGCGACATTTTGTACAGGTGAGCCTTAGATACAATAGGTCTGTATGGCGTATTCTTCTTGTTTCTTGGAAGATCTTAGAAACAGGAGGAGTGATAGTGAGTAGGAATAAGATAAATTTTTTGGTTAGCTGTAAGAATGGGACATGCTTTAACAAGTTTCTTTATGTTGGTAAGAACTTTACTGGTAGGGTCATTTCTTAGTAAAGTATATGGGCCATCATTTAGTAGAGTGTTGACCCCTTGTCTGTAATGGGATTTATCAATGACTATCATACAGCCACCTTTGTCTGCTCTAGTTATGTGTATTTTACTGTTAGACCTTAATTCATTTAAAGCTTTAATTTATTTGTTATTTAGGTTAGTTTTAAGCTTATTCTCCTTACATTATGAATGGGTAGAAAGTATGTAGACTAATTTTTTTCCGTTTTTAAGCTAAGGTTGTTAATGTTAGTTTCAGTGGTAGCAACTAGTTGTTCAGTTAGTACAGAACTACGTTTAACAGCAAAATTTAAACCTAAGTTTAAGATAGGCATTTGCTTGTTACTTAATGGTTCACCTGAAAGTTATTTTACAACAGATGGTGGAAGAGTTAATGGTTGGAAATTGTTTAATTCTCTTTTCTGCTTTTCTTTTCCTGGTTGATCCTCTTCTGTTCTGCAGTCTTTGGACAGAAGAGGATCAACCAGAATTGAGTTTGTACACGTAGCTCTACATATAGCATGCCTAAATCCTAAAAATAGCCTTTGTACTTTTATACACATAGGATGCTTGAAGCTTAAAAGTAGTCTTAACTAAAAGGTATATCTTGCCTCGAAAAATCACACTAAAATATTAAATTTACAAAAGTGTGCAACAACCACTTATTTGATTCGTACATACAAAGTATGTTAAGTTACATACTTTGATGGGTTTAAATCACTCACAATATAAGTCTGTAAAATCTGAATATTCTAGAACTGTCTCACCATTTTTGAGAATAATAAAGTATCTGAAGATGAAATAAATATTACATACTTAATTGAAATATGTGAGTATTCATTACTGCTAACTTCTTTACACTATTCACTTCCACAAATATAACTAATGTTCATACACCAAAAACTTTAAAATTTCAAAGTTACCATACAGACATTTAACAAGTATTTTAGTCTAAGTAAAATTCACTTTTATCGTTCTCTTTGGCTGATTTATACAAAATTAATAATTTTTTATTTTAAACTTTATATTTTATTAATGTGATACATTCAACACACACATCCTATCATCACGTGATAGCCTATATATACTATATAAACATACTGGTTTATTACATATATGCTTCTCAAACTTAAGCTACAGACGTTTGCACAATTTTAATGTTATTACTATTAATACACATAACAGGTATTTTAGATAACTTTATTAATATTTCAGTTACAATTTCATTAAAAATTTTCATATTGAATTTTATTGCTCATAGACAGAAATCCTAAGTTTCTCTACTTTTCAGCTCCGATTAGTAATTTGTTGAATGCTAATTGTTCATTACAGTGTAATTTCATATTTTAGGAATCTTAAAATCGCACAAAATTTTTTTAGCAGAAATTTAGAATACTATGTATTTTATTATTAAGAATACATTTTTCAGTAATTAATGAGTTTGATTATTTAGTAAAAACACCTTGCCACAGTTCACTGGCTCTTAGAGAATAATGTTTGCAAACATTCAAACAACTTTAGCAAATGAAACACTGAAGAAGTAAACAATATAATGGATGTAAAACTGTCACTAAATATTGCAGTAACTGAATATTGAAGAAGTTAAAAATACAGCATTAAAAAATGGTATGTATTAAATACTGACATCTGAATGTGTTAAATAAAACCATCTCTAAGGTGTTTATCATTTTAACACCTACCAAACGAGCCAGCCTGGCATCTCAATGTGGATCCAAAAAATAAGTCCTTCCGGAAAGGTTTGGGTTGTTTTGATTAGAAAAAAAGAAGACATTTGGCTACATTGCTAAACGAGACCTGTTACTGGACCCAAGATCATGAGAGCCAACATGGAGAAGCTAACTTGTAAATGTAAAGTATAACAATGTAGCAATGAAACAAGCTTGAAATTTTCTAGATCTGGTTGTGAACATAAAAGGTTAAATTTAAGTGTAGTGATTAAACTAAACCATGGGTCCAGTTCAGATAAGGGAAAAACTTATTCAAAGATATCCCAATCAATTTGACATACCAGCTGAATCGGAGATTCGTCAATTGGTTACTACACTGACAGTGAGACATAAAAAAAAAAACGAGCATAACAGTATCGTTATGTTCAAAAAGGGAAACTGGAATCATATTTAAGAAAGTATTAGTTTGAATATTTTATGAAATTAACAGCACAGTAAAGCACAAAGATGCAGTGCTGAAGTTGAAGCAGATGCACAATGCATTACAAGATGATGTCCCTTGTGATTCTCAAGTAAAAATACCGTTTCTGTAATGAAAAGTAAATATAAGAAAGATGATACAATGCCCAGTATGGTATGGTACCATCATAGTATAATCCATATAGATTTCATCATGTCATATTTAGTTTTTGTTTTCATTTTAGAAGTTGTGCCAAGCTTCACTCCTCGAGATCTATCAAAATAACCCTAAATCATCGGTTTCTGGCATGACCTCCCCCTGTTGACCATCTTAGGCTCAAGTACTAAAAGATGCTGGGCTGGCTTGTATGGCAGGAGTTAAGTTAGGAGTATCGTGGAGCAAACACTTGTAATCTTTTGTCAAACAACAAGCAATAATTTAAACAATACATTTAGATACATTATGAAATACTTACCAACAATAAATATATTTCTGCAAGACTACACAGACATTTTAACCTTTAGGTTCAGTACTATGATTTCATGCATACACTATCTGCACAGAAACACAAGTCACAGTAACAAGTACAGCAACTTTAAGTGATATGTTAAGTAGATTACAAATATTAGACATAGTTTTAACCATATGTATGCTTTTTCTTTTTTATTAGATAGAATGATTTTTTTTTCATACTAATTCAAACTTATTGCAAGGTTTTAAGTTCCCATCTTTCAGAGAAACAATTATAACTTTGTTTCAGTATAAGTATTTAAAGTGAAGAAAACATACACTAAACGTAGCATAGTTATCAAATCTTTTTTTGAAGAACTTCTGAGCTGAGTATAGTTTGTGCATTACCTGGATTATCAAAGTTTTCAGGATGGTATCTGAACTTCAGCTTTTTAACAATTTCCTTAGCTTTATCAACCAACAACTCAGATGGTTCTTGTTTACTTTCCAAGTTCAGCTTTCGCAGGTCCTCTGAAAATGGAAGAAATACCAGCTGAAACCCTGGTGGTATATCTTGGACTCCTACTTCATCTTTCTCTTCTTTCTGTCACAAAAAATTTTTTAAATTACTACAAGTTAATGAATTATCTTCAATAAGAATATAAAAATCCCAACATTTTTATAAGATGGTATTGCCCACTTGTTATGGTTTAAAATATCCACAGAAAAGTTATTAATCAGTCTTCTGACAAAAATATGTCAACTTCTGTTTTATCAGTTATTTATTTACTGCAGATATGCATGAAATATTTGAAAGCCAATCTTTAACTTGCAACAATACTATTTAGCAATGTATTACACTAGGGCCCCACTATAATGTGCTCCAAAGGATCCATATCGTGAGTCCTAATTATAGGTGAGACCATGTTATAATGAAGTCCTTTCAAAAGAGCCAAACCAATTTAATTGGCTAAACCCCTTAATTAGTCATGAGGCTACCACCTCACTGGCTGGTTCTAAATCTAATTATGTTTAATTTTCAAAAATATATGATTAAAATAACAATGAAAGTGTAACTGATAATCCAGCCATTAATAAAGAACACAGTTTCTTGAATGTTAAATGTCATACTTATTTAAATTCATATTTTCATATAAAGTGACATGAAATGAGAAAGTTTGACAATAAACTTTCATTTTGTTGAATTGTTCATTGGATGGCAATAAGTATTATTTGGTAGAAGTCTGTCATTTGTGAATCATTTATATTTCAACAATGTTCAGCACTTCATGAAAAAGACTGAAAATATGTTCTGAAAGAATAAATGTAAATGAAAATTTTGGGGTCCAAGATGGACCCTTGTTATACCAAGTTCTGTGCTACAGTGAACTGCATTATAGTAGGCCTCCAGTGTATTCACCTTCTGTTTTATATTTATTCTCTGCTATAATGAAGAAAACAAAATAGAAAGAAAAATCTGACTTGCATAAAGTATCGATTCAAATAGTTAACATTTTTCAAATGGAACATACTATTTCTAACACTTTAAGTGAATGCAAGCCAAATCAAGGTTGAAACAAAAACAAACACAAGCACATCAGAAGTTAGATTTGTCAATGGTAAAGCCATATATTTCAGAGAGATGTCACTATATTAAAATGTCAGAGACTAAACTATCAGTGACTAAAGCTAGACAAGAGAATTTGTTCACTTTGACAATACAAAGTTGGATGAGCCATTACTTTTTAAAAACAGACAAATAAGGATCTAAACAGATTATCACACATTTACTGAAACTACATATCTTAAAATAAGTCTAAAATATCATACCTGTGGAACTAAGGCCACCAATCTTGGAGGTGTGTTCTTTCGTGGAATGTATCGGCAGATGATTACTTTCTCTCGTTCCAAACAACGCTGTAGTAAAGATGAAAATAACCTTGTACTACCAGATATGCTTTTCTCATCAGGATATACAAACTGGCCTGCTCGGATATGGTGATGAAGCTTTAATGATGATTTTGGCTTGAAGCCCATCAACACTAGTCCTTTATATGATACAAGACAGATAACATTAACATATCAATAATAAACATAACCTTAACATATTAGCTACAGCTTTATATAAACTGATGTGACCACATTACATACAGATTTTAAGTTTCAATAAAATGTTTAGGCCTTCATAAATCATAATATAGATTATTGATGTTCTTTAAAATTTAATTAACTCTTTGACTATGGGTAGGTGCATTGCACCTACTACATAACCACCAAAGTAACCATGATATTTGTCGATAAAAAAAAAGTCTTTTTAATCTTAAAATCAAAATCACTTTGCATGTATAACCAATATTCCAAAACAAACATTCACAAGCAAATCTTTAATTAAAATATCTGATATTTTGTGTACAAAAGACTTGTAATGTTTACTGATAGTCTGCTGAATTTCATGAAGATACACATACATTATCAAAAGCTATAGTATTGAAAATTGTCAGATTTCATTTGTATAATCTCTAAAACCTCCTAAATAAACGTCAAAGGTTTTTTTTTTTAGTAAAAATTTTATATATGTTATTTTCTCTACCATAACTCTGTACAGGGCTGGTTGATTTGTCTGACCTCATAATTACCGTAAAAGATTAGGAGATAAATCTAAGTTACCCCTTTTTCTCTTTAGAATGAATTGTAACAGGAAATTGTAAAATGCAATCTGAGCAAAAGCAGAAGACAATGTACCATGTGTCACACAAAAATCAATATTTAGCAATTATTTTTAAAATTTACTTTTAAATTAAAAAATTAAATAATGTAAAATACTAAAATTTGAATGATAAACATACATACATACATTCCTAAAATTGTAGTTTTATAAAATTTTGAATTTAAGTCTACAAAACATGATGACATGAAATCTGACCCCTACCCCCATGAAAATGGTTAATTATGCAACACCTCTAGTATTTCTCATCTGTAACAGTGAGGTATCTTATTCTATCATTTCAAAATGCCAATAAAATGCAAACACACAGAGTGATCCATGCTTCATTTGATACATAAAAAAAACCTTCTTGAAGCTTTTTTGTACAGAAGGTTGTTCACGACCTATGGTAACAGCTTACATATCTTAATTTGATTGATTAAATAGTGCAAAATACAATCCAGTTCTTAGCTAGAACTAATAATTTGTAATAGTAACACCTGTATCACTCTGATATGGATCATATGTTGTTGTTGTTTTTTTAAGCCTTTTTTTTCAACTGTACAAGTTCGGTGAGATCATTACATACTTTAGCAATAATTATGTATTGCATGTTTTCATTGTAACATGGATTGAGCCATTAAAACCTGAAAGTGGTTGGGCTATGAACATTTAAGTTTGGAGCACCAAGACTAGTTGTAAAACTTCATGATATAAATATTTTAACTACTGATGAACATCACAAAGCAGCTATGACTGGAAGATTAGGCTAGGTTACTAATGTAATCATACACAATACCAAGAAAGTCTGTTACAAAATATCCAGGCAGAGATGTAAAACTTCATGATATAAATATTTTAACCCCTATTGAATATTACCTATTACCTGTCACTGGAAATTAGTGTGGCCAACACATATTAATGTAGTCATACCTATTAAGAAAGTCTGAAAATAATGCTTTGAAAAATAATAAATTGGCTATCAATATTTCAAGGTCAGGATGAAAGATTTGGCACAAAAGATCACAAACAAACAAAAAAAGAAGTGCAACCAAATTTCAAAAGACTCAGAAGCTCGAGCACTTTCAAATAGTTGACTCTTCTTCTTCTTCTTCTTGGTCAAACTCGTAAAACTACAAATTTTCTGTGCCTAAAGGAATAAAACTTGGTGCACCCACAACCCTAACTACTAGCCCAATCACAATAACTGGAAGTGGAAACAAAATGTGTTTTGAATTGCTCAATCATGCTGTTTATATTATCACACAATACAGCAACAATGGCTTTGAATTTTCACTTAATTCTTCTGTTTTATCAGCATATGCTTTAATGTAACATGTATGCACAAGGGAACAAAAGCTCCAACTTAGCACATACAGTCCAGCAAAGATATAACAAAGCTTTAGGGACCACCACGTATTCTTCATTATAAGCACAATTAGTTACAGCCATTGTGAACATTAATTGGCAAGTAATAAGTGCAGTATGATTAGTGTCTTATTTTTATATAAATTTATTAGAAAATTACTATAAATGCATGAAAACATGTACAACATTCCAGTTTAGAGATTTTCAGTAGGCCATGCTATACATATCTAAACAGTTATAGTGTATAAAACTACATTAGTGTATAGTATATAGTGTAGCTTCTAGGATGTGTACTGGTGCAAAATAATCGTTTGCTGTATATTAGTTCATGCAAAAACAAAAACAACAAAAGTATGCATCTTAATTTTTTTGTGTGCCACCCCTTCGTATTGTATTATGAATAATTTCATAACAACAGATCATAATCGTACCCAAAAAAATTACAAACAGTAATTAGCTCATTTGGGTATTCAAAGGAATATGATTGGCTGCATTATGACATCATTTAGTTTTGCAGGAGATTCCCTTGATATTATGGGATATCAATGATTTAAAATGGTGGAAAAAATGAAAGGTATGAAGATGTTCAAGAAGCAGTTAATTTTCTAACAAATTACTACATTTTGCCATCAAAACGATGCAAAAATAGAAATAAATAAAGGAAAATGGCACAAAGAACACGACTGCAATGCAAGTTTTGTCAGTGAATACGTAAATATTTTCAGTACACACACAAATGAAACAAATTGCAATGATTCAATTTACTGTTTCTTCGAATAAAATAAGTTACTACATCATGTTATGCTTTTATGACTCGAGAAGTTGATACCTACTTCATTACATGAATGGCCCACTTTCTGGAAGTCAGTGGGGGATTTGGCCCACTTGAGAAAAATCCTAGAAGCAACACCGAGTATACTTATGTAATCAACATTAACAACACATACATAACATACAGTTCATTTATACAAAACACGAGGGCAAGCATAAAGTTTTATGATAATTTAATCGGGAGAAATTTTCAATTCTTCATGAAAGTGATTTTTTATAACTGGTCTGTTTGTGTGTTGATATATAAATTGTATATATATATAAATATGCCCATGTTGACATTATACATGCACAAAACAAAATAACCATTCCCAGTCAATTCCAAGTGCTTACAGAATGTAGATTAGTTAAAATCACTATAAAAAATTACATTTTTCTATTTTGAGACTGTCAAATGTTACTTACATATGCATGATTTTGTTATGACATTGTTCATTATAAGTTGTGAAAATATACCATGTTCCTCGTGTTTTCTTACTAAATATTTATTACAGGCATGACTTCGATACATACACTCTTGTTACAAAAGTGTTCAATTGTATGACGTTTAAAAATCAACAACAATATATAAAGTAACTGAAAAAACTATGACTCGTACCCTTCATAACCAGTGGTGTAAAAAACAATGCTTTTGTGTGTGTGTGTGTGGGAGTGAAAGGCTTGTGGCATGCAAAAAAGTTTTGCAAATAGAGGACAGCATTTTTGTGTGAAGTGATCTTGAATAATATTTGTTTAATTTTTATATTAAA